AACTTGGTGCCGAAACCCGGGAATGCCACCAAAAAAGGCTTCGAGTGCCGATGCTCCTAATCCGGCATCAACTAAGCGGTATCGCGGCAAGATACTTCGGCTGCGGAAGAGCATCCAGCAATGCCTCGATGACGGCAATGCATTATTGTCTGGAGCTTCCTCATCTGCAACAGCAGAAAAGCTAAGTGAAACATGTGCATCTTTAGAGTCCGATGTCGTAGCATTTGATGAGGTCTGTGAACTTTTGTCAAATTGTGTTGATTCCTCCGCCCTGGAGAGCTCTGACGAAGCTGCTTGTAAACAGGAAGCAGACGATAATCTGGACTTCCAGTTTGAAACTATGAGCGTGATCAAAAAGCTCAAATTCCGAATTTCTCAACTGAAATCAGCAGCAGATTGTCAGACCTCTCCAGAGTCGAGTACTAACAAATCGGACGACGACTCAGTTGTCAAGCTAATGCAAAGCCAGATGAAAGAGTTACTCACCATTCATCGTCAAACACAAGAACAAACTCAATCTCTGCTACAACAGCATAGTGAATCACTCACCACTCAAGCATCTCACAAGTCCACTGTCAATTTACCAAAGTTAGGTTTACCTAAATTCAATGGCGACATCCTGCAATGGAAGTCTTTCCACGACATGTTCATGGCATCCGTACACAAACACACTGGATTAAGCGATGTACAGAAGCTTTCCTACCTAAAGGAGCATGTGACCCACAATGCACTCGACACCATTTCTGGTTTATCTCTGTCAGATGCAAATTATGCTGTTGCTCTTGGCCTGCTCGACGAGCGTTATGGCAACACGCAGGTGCAGGTTAATGCTCACCATGTCGCCCTGATGGAAACTCCACCGGCAACCAACAAGCCATCCTCGCTCCGTAAGCTGTACGATACGGTAGAACTACATCTACGCAGTCTCAACGCTCTTGAAGAAGACACTGACCAACCAATCTTCATTTCACTGATGACCAGCAAGCTTCCGCGTCACGTGCTTGCGCAACTTGAGTTGCAGAAAGGCATCGATCCATGGTCTGTCGCCGAGTTGAGAGTCAAACTGTGTGCGTATATAGTAGCGCAGGAGACAGCCGAGCGCCAGTCCAGTCATGCCGCCAGCAGCAAACATGAACAGCCGTCTTCCGTACATAAGTCGTCCGTACTTCTTGTTGGCGAGTCGAGTCGCCAATCACAGCCAAGAAAGAAAGTCTGCGCTTTCTGCAGGGAAAGCCACTACTCTGACATGTGTTCCAAGTATAGCACACTTGAAACAAGGAAACCACGCCTAGGCGACAAGTGTCAACGGTGCCTACGGCCAGGCCACAGTGTTTCTTCGTGTAGTCTGCAGAAGCCTTGCTTCTATTGTCGTAAGCCTGACCATCACTCCAGTTTGTGTCCCGTGAAATTCGGTGCACAACCAAGCTCCGCAATGTGTGCCAACGCGGCACCTTTCCAGCCACGTCCTGCCATTACCACAGTCGCAGGCGACAACCAGTCCGTCATCATGCAAACCGCAGTTGCAGATGTAGTGTCCAACTCTTCCGGTACCCCGACGACGCTGTCTGCACGTATACTGTTCGATAGTGGCTCTTGCCGGTCGTACGTCACGCAGGCGCTCCAGGCGAAAGCCAACCTCAGCGTTCTAGGTCAAGATCACATTGCCCTCTCTACTTTCGGTAGTGTATCGAGGAACACGTCTCAGTACCCACGCGTCGAGGTCAATCTCAAACTGAAGAATGGCTCAATCCTTCCGCTGTCCGCCAATGTGATTCCCCAAATCACTTCACCGATATGGCGCGTGCCCTTGGACACCAACAGGCACCCGAGCCTCAACACCCTTCCTCTTGCGGAGCCGCTCACGTCATCCAACGATCGCCTGTGTATCGACATCCTCATTGGTCTTGATCACTACTACAAGATCCTGGGCACAGACCGCATCTCCTTTCCCGATGGCCTGCAGCTTTTGGACTCGTCACTTGGTTTTGTTTGCGCCGGCACAGTAGCAACTGAGCACGCCTGTTCGGTAATCAAGAGCAACACCACCTTAGCCGTAGCAAGTCATCGACGTGAAGATCCCTCGTTTGACCTTGAGCGCTTCTGGGCTGTTGAAGATTTCGACTCTCTCAGTGCGACACGCCCCAGCAACGATCATGCGTATGACGACTTCCTCCAATCGGTCGTGTTTGAGGACGGACGGTACACCGTCGGGTGGCCTTGGCGACAACAACATCCGCCTTTGGAAAACAACTTTCCACTTGCTTTTGGACGTTTGAAGTCACTCATTAAACGTCTCCGTCACGAGCCTGATACCTTCGTCAAGTACAGCAAGGTACTTGAAGAGCAACTGTCACTTGGTATCATCGAACGCGTTGCTTGTCCCAGCCAGAGAGACAACTCGCATCCAATACACTACTTGCCACATCACTGTGTGCTCAAGCTGTCCAGCAGCACCACTAAGATCCGTGTCGTGTACGACGCATCCGCTCGTGTATCGAAGACCTCGCCCAGTCTCAATGATTGTCTGTATCCTGGGCCGTGCATGATCCCTGATCTCTGCGGCATTCTCCTGCGTTTCCGCATGCACCCTATTGCCGTCTGTAGTGACATCGAGAAAGCGTTCTTACAGATGAATTTGAACGTAGCCGATCGTGATGTCACTCGTTTCTTGTGGTTGGATGACCCCAACCATCCAGTCAACTACAGCAATCTCCAAACTCTGCGTTTCTGTAGAGTCCCTTTCGGTGTTGTTTCCAGCCCTTTCCTGCTGTCTGCAACGATCAAGTACCACCTCACGCAGACCTGTTCACCGGAGACAGACGACATTCTCCGAAACACGTACGTAGACAACATCATCCTGGGCAAGGACACCATCAACGATGCTGTCGCTCACTATCAATCAGCAAAGGCGACGTTCTCCGCAATCAGCATGAACCTTAGAGAGTGGGCATCAAACTCTTCCGAGGTTTTGGACAAGATCCCAGAACACGATCGCTCAAGAAGCACTCGCGAGAAATGCCTTGGTCTCCATTGGGACCCCAGAGAGGATGTCTTGTCCGTACAGTCGCCTAATGCAGCTAACCTTGTTGTCACTACGAAACGCCAGGTTCTACAGGCACTGTCTCGCTTCTTCGACCCGCTTGGCTTGTTCGCCCCCGTGTCCATCAGAGCGAAGGTTCTTATGCAAGATATCTGGAAGCTTGCTGTGTCATGGGATGACTCACTGCCCTCCGATGTCCTCAGTCGCTGGCACCCAATAGCCGCCGACCTTGACGAGTCTAGCAGCTATCCGATCTTACGCTACGTCGGCGTACCCACATGTAAGAGTCCGTCGTATCAGTTGCACATCTTCTGCGATGCGTCAGCGATCGCCATCGCTGCTGTTGCGTACTTGGAAAGCACTGTCGGTGATAAGAGTCAGCGCCATATTATCTTTAGCAAGACGAAGGTCTCTCCCGTCAAGGGTCAAACGATCCCACGGTTAGAGTTGATGGCAGCAAGCCTAGGATCTCGCCTTATCGTGTACCTACGCAAGCAACTGGACATCCAGTTCCAAGCCACTCATCTGTACACCGACTCAACGACTGTACTCCATTGGCTCAAGTCCACGAAGCTCCCCGTCTTTGAGCAGAACCGCGTCAACGCCATCGCAGCCGTTCCAGACGTTCTCCACCACTACGTCCCGACAAAGCTGAATCCAGCCGACCTGCCATCCCGTGGATTGAGCGCCGCAGCCTTGTTAAAATGCGACGCCTGGTGGAACGGCCCCAGCCTACCGATTGAAGGCACCACTACAGCAACCGTCACTGTTGCGCCGGCGGAGGGTCCTCCGGAAGTCACCTCAAAGGGGTCGGGGGGTCAGCCATTTGGTCAGGGTTCACAGACAAATAAAAAATCTGATGTGTTCCCATATGGCATTGTTGTGAACGACTTCTCGTCGTTCGACTCTTTAGTGCGTGTGTCTGCACTTTGCTTTCGTTTCCTCTGTAGGCTGCGGAAGAAACCAACTCCATCTGGACCTCTCACGCCTAGAGAAATCGAAGCAGCAGAGCAAGTCTGGATCAGCCACAGCCAGTCTGCACACTATGCAGATGTTATCACCGCTCTGTCCAGTGGGAAGCAACATCCGCTGGCAACTAAGCTCAACTTAGTGCTCGACAACGGAGTACTGAGATGCCGTGGAAGACTGGAGAATGCTGACCTCTGCTCCAAATCGAGGTTTCCCGTCCTGATCTCCAAGGAACACGCCATTGCCAACCTGATCATACGTGATTGCCACCTCAAGGTCATGCATGGCGGCGTAGCGCACACACTATCCCGTGTCCGATATCAGTTTTGGATCCCGAAAGGCAGATCAGCTGTAAAGGCCCTCGTGCGCCGCTGTCAGACGTGCATTCGCTACGAAGGCGCGCCATACAAGACACCTCAGATGAGTCCGCTACCTTCTACCAGAGTGACCCAAGCGCGACCATTCTCACACATCGGCCTGGACTACTTTGGCCCAGTCCTCGTCCGTACACAGTCAGAAACCGCTAAGGCATGGGTCTGCCTGATCACGTGCATGGTGACCAGAGCTGTTCATTTGGAGCCAGTCCACGACATGACAGCTGCCGAGTTTCTGCTCGCATTGAGACGTTTCGTCGCCCGCCGTGGCACGCCAGAGCTAGTTGTGTCTGACAACGCTCCCCAATTTAAGCTGGCCAAGTCCGCTCTTGACATTGCCTGGAGCAACATTGTCGTAGACACCAGTGTTACATCGTACATTAGCCGTCATCAAATCCAGTGGCACTTCATCGTTGCCAACTCTCCGTGGATGGGTGGAATGTATGAACGGCTTGTGGGTATTGTCAAACGCTCCATGCGCAAGACCATCGGGAGACGCCTCCTCACATCCAGCCAACTCGCCACTCTCCTGCCAGAAGTTGAGTCTGTCGTCAATTCTCGGCCGCTAGTCTATGTCGACGAAGAACAGTGCACAGTCCTGACGCCTGGTCATTTTATCAGCCTGTCTGCCACACAGGGGTTCTTCACGGTCAGCAACGACCCAACCGACCCGGATTACCAGCCTATCAATTCCTCTGCAGACAGCCTGTTGGACCTTTGGAAGAAGGGCCAACGACACCTTGATCAGTTCTGGCTTGCCTGGAGGAACGAGTACCTCCTCAGTCTGCGAGAAGCCCACACGTCATCGTTCAAGCAGTCAAGGACTCGATCCTCAACGTTTCCGAAGCCTGCTGACGTTGTCCTCATCAAGGAGGAATTGCCTCGCGGCCACTGGCGCCTTGGACGAATCCAAGAAGTACACACCAGCAGCGATGGCAACATCCGCTCCGCCACCGTCCTCACTTCGGACAAACGTACCATCAAGCGGCCAGTAAGCTTACTGTGTCCGCTTGAGACCAGCAGTACCTCGGAATCCCCAGGTACCCCAGCTCAGAAGACTAGCACTCCCGTTGCAGTCGTACGAAGACCGACACGAGCCGCTGCCAGCAAGTTTCAGTCCAACTTGCAGGATTTGATGGCCGACGGCCGTGTTTAACTCTCTCTCTCTCTCTCTCTCTCTCTCTCTCTCTCTCTCTCTCTCTCTCTCTCTCTCTCTCTCTCTCTCTCTCTCTCTCTCTCTCTCTCTCTCTCTCTCTCGCTCGCTCTCATTACTCTCGCATTCTATATGCTCTTCAGTTATCTTTCCACGTGTTTTGTGTGAAATTTCTCCTTGTTATTAATTATGGTTAATTCTGTTCTCCGGCCAATGCCCGGGGAGTGTCGTGAATATGCATCACGAATCCGCGTTACGCTCATTATTATGTCTTTATGTGTTTATGTGTTACATCATGTTGACGTCATGCTGATGTCTTGCTGCACGCATCGCGTGCACCGTTTTGCAGCTCTCAGCCCGGAGCATGCGCAGCGAGCCTGTGGCTCCTTTTTTGCTGCCTTTTCCCTTTTGCATGCTTCACTTGTCTCCACTTGTCTCAACCTTGTCTCAAATAAGGTTTTCAGGTGACACTCCTTTTCAAGTCACCTAATCCTTTCAAGTAACAAGTGCAATGTCGTTCCGTGAACCGGAACCCCTCCATATTTGAGTTACCAAGACGTATTTGTGCGTGGCTATACAAGCTCTCCCACTCAACAGTTCAAAGCTGCGCACAATTTGATTGGATGAGATTCTTTTTCCAACATTGGGCTACGCGTATTCTCTCTTGAAGTGAAAAAAAGACCCAGCATGTCACTCCATGTCTTCAATGCATGTTTGTGTGTGTGTGCGTGTGTGTATGTGTATGAGTGTGTGTGTGTGCGCGTGTGCGCGTATGTGTGTGTGTGTGTGTGTGTGTGTGTGTGTGTGTGTGTGTGTGTGTGTGTGTGTGTGTGTGTGTGTGTGTGTGTGTGACTGTGTGTGTATCTGTGTGTGTGTGTGTGTGTGTGTGTGTGTATCTGTGTGCCTATGTGTCCATGGCTTTGCGTAAAAGACATTGGATTTGAGCGACCCGAAGTCCTTCAGAGACTTGTCTAAGCCGATGGGAGCGCAGACACCGGCACGTCTCAAGCAGTTTAGCCAGCGTTTCCGTGACTGGGAGGATCCTGCTGGTAAGTGGTAAGACGGCCATTGGGGCATTGGGGCATTGGGGCATTGGGCCATTGGGGCGTGTGTTGTAACAACTGCTGACAAGTACAACACTACACATAGCAGCTTTGTATTCTCAAATAGATTAGCCGTGGTTGGCTATGAAAACCCTGCAATCGCCACGCAAAGTGGTCATTGGCTACCCCAGCCATGTATAGCTTGGAATAAAATAAAATAAAGTAAATAAATTAGTAGTACACCCCCTGCCGTAGTATGTCTGCACCTCAATAATCTTACATGACAAGTGACCTGCCTGACCTGGTTCTACTATTGCATGTCTGTTGGCTGTGTATGCAAGTACAGTAAACCCTGTAACTAAAGACCACCGTGACTAGCGACCAGCCTGCTACTACAGTAAAACCTGTAACTAAAGACCACCGTGACTAGTGACCAGCCTGCTACTACAGTAAAACCTGTAACTAAAGATCACCGTGACTAGCGACCAGCCTTCTACTACCGACCACTTCGCCAGGCACGGACGGTCTCACATTCATATATGGTTGTGCGGTGCAAACCTCTGACTAAGTACCACCTGCCACTAAAAGACCGCTTTCTCTGGCCCCGAAGGGTGGGCGTCAGTCACAGGTTTTACCGTATACATAAAACTCAGTCACACAGAGTCACTGAAGAAGAATCTCGGTCCGCACTCGCTGTTGTTTGCATGTAACGTTATGACTGTTGTAAAGAAATGTAAAGATTCCAAAGAATACACCCAGTTTAGGAGAGAAACCATACGTATGTAGCCCGGGTAGATAGTGGTCATGTACCACTGTTCTCTCTGCATGCTCTCCTCACACCCCACCCCGTACCCCATACCCCACCCCGTACCCCGTATCCCACCTCGCATCCCCACCCCGTACCCCATCCCGTACCCCACCTGTACTAACACATCCACATTCACTATCGGGCGCTACACTATCGGGTAACTGTTTGTTTTTCCTATCTTTGTGTGTGCGCGATGCAGTTGGCACAAAGCCGTACTACTACGGCACACACTACTCATCAGCTATGATTGTGTCGTCGTACCTGATACGCCTGGAACCGTTCACACAGCACTTCTTACGCCTGCAGGTAAGACTACTGCTGCTTAGCCACCACATGTTTTAGATATGAATTATGCGTCAATCATGTTCTTATTCTGTTTGTTTGTTTTTATATCACTGGCTACCCCAGCCATGTATTGTTTGGAATAAAATAAATAAAATATGGAGACCCCTCGACAGGCCTTCCAGCCTCTGGGGAATCCAGAAATAAGTAAATAATTACAAATTACAACAGTAGCTGGAACTGGTTGAACTGGTTGAACTGCTGGAACTGCTTGAACTGCCCGTCATTATGTGCGTGTGAACGTTTGAGTTGTGACTGCCATCTGGGAGTGAATTATTTGCTTGCAAAGAAGTCGACTTTCTTTGTAGTTTGATGGTCCATTCGACGTCTTTAGCGTATTAGAATAATTAATGGAGGAGGAGAAGAGGAAGTACTGATCTGTCGTTCTCAGTTTTCCCAGACCGCAACCGATTCGAGCTGCACAGTTGATTTCATGTACCCATTCTTGTATTCGCATACTTGGAAGTACGATAATCTCCTTCTCTCTGTCTCTCTGTCTCTCTCTCTCACTCTCTCTCTCTCTCTCTCTCTCTCACTCTCTCTCTCTCTCTCTCTCTCTCTCTCTCTCACTCTCTCTTTCTTGTCGTGTGTTTTCACAGGGAGGTCATTTTGACCATGCTGATCGTATGTTCCATAGTATGGAGGACCAGTGGGCCAGTGCATCCGAGATCAACATGGCTGACATCAAGGAGCTCATCCCCGAGTTCTTCTATCAGCCTGATTTCCTGCAGAACAAGAACAAGTTCAAACTGGGTATGTGGCATGAGAAGCTCAGCATGGCCTGTAGCTTGACTGAGTCTTGTATCGAACACTAGTGTGTTCAGATTTGTAGTCAGGAACAGAGAGAGAGGGAGAGAGAGAGAGAGAGAGAGAGAGAGAGAGAGAGAGAGAGAGAGAGAGAGAGAGAGAGAGAGGGCATGGTGCCTCCTCCTATGTTGTGCCAAGGAAGGAACCATCTCCCTGTTTTGTAGTGACAAGGAAAGGGGCTACTGCAAGTCTACAGGTTTTCCGTGCGGTCAAACTTCGGCCTCCCAGAGCTAAAACTTATTTCAGTCACATTAAATTTTCAGCCTGTACTGCTGCTGCCTGCATACACTGTCACGCTGAACCTTGCGAAACAAAATTTCGGCCGCAACAGACTTAAGGCCAAAAATGCCCAGGCTGCAAATAGCCGAAAATAAATATGCGCCGAATATTTGTTGACTCACAGTATCCTCCTGCCCTGTAGTGGCAAGGAAAGGAGCCATCCTCCTGCCCTGTAGTGGCAAGGAAAGGAGCCATCCTCCTGCCCTGTAGTGGCAAGGAAAGGAGCCATCCTCCTGCCCTGTAGTGGCAAGGAAAGGAGCCATCCTCCTGCCCTGTAGTGGCAAGGAAAGGAGCCATCCTCCTTCTCTGGCGGTGGTGCAAAGGGAAGGGGCCATCCTCCTGCCCTGTAGTGGCAAGGAAAGGAGCCATCCTCCTGCCCTTTAGTGGCAAGGAAAGGGGCCATCCTCCTGCCCTGTAGTGGCAAGGAAAGGAGCCATCCTCCTGCCCTGTAGTGGCAAGGAAAGGAGCCATCCTCCTTCTCTGGCGGTGGTGCAAAGGGAAGGGGCCATCCTCCTGCCCTGTGGTGGCAAGGAAAGGAGCCATCCTCCTGCCCTGTAGTGGCAAGGAAAGGGGCCATCCTCCTGCCCTGTAGTGGCAAGGAAAGGAGCCATCCTCCTGCCCTGTAGTGGCAAGGAAAGGGGCCATCCTCCTGCCCTGTAGTGGCATGGAAGGGAGCCATCCTCCTGCCCTGTAGTGGCATGGAAGGGAGCCATCCTCCTGCCCTGTAGTGGCAAGGAAAGGGGCCATCCTCCTGCCCTGTAGTGGCAAGGAAAGGAGCCATCCTCCTGCCCTGTAGTGGCAAGGAAATGGGCCATCCTCCTGCCCTGTAGTGGCAAGGAAATGGGCCATCCTCCTGCCCTGTAGTGGCAAGGAAAGGGGCCATCCTCCTGCCCTGTAGTGGCAAGGAAAGGAGCCATCCTCCTGCCCTGTAGTGGCAAGGAAAGGAGCTATCCTCCTGCTGTGGTGGTGGCAAGGAAAGGAGCCATCCTCCTGCCCTGTAGTGGCAAGGAAAGGAGCCATCCTTCTGCCCTGTAGTGGCAAGGAAAGGGGCCATCCTCCTGCCCTGTAGTGGCATGGAAGGGAGCCATCCTCCTGCCCTGTAGTGGCATGGAAGGGAGCCATCCTCTTGCCCTGTAGTGGCAAGGAAAGGAGCCATCCTCCTGCCCTGTAGTGGCAAGGAAAGGAGCCATCCTCCTGCCCTGTAGTGGCAAGGAAAGGAGCCATCCTCCTGCCCTGTAGTGGCAAGGAAGGGAGCCATCCTCCTGCCCTGTAGTGGCAAGGAAAGGGGCCATCCTCCTGCCCTGTAGTGGCAAGGAAAGGGGCCATCCTCCTGCCCTGTAGTGGCATGGAAGGGAGCCATCCTCCTGCCCTGTAGTGGCATGGAAGGGAGCCATCCTCCTGCCCTGTAGTGGCATGGAAGGGAGCCATCCTTCTGCCCTGTAGTGGCAAGGAAAGAAGCTATCCTCCTGCTGTGGTGGTGGCAAGGAAAGGAGCCATCCTCCTGCCCTGTAGTGGCAAGGAAAGGAGCCATCCTCCTGCCCTGTAGTGGCAAGGAAAGGAGCCATCCTCCTGCCCTGTAGTGGCAAGGAAAGGAACCATCCTCCTGCCCTGTAGTGGCAAGGAAAATAACCATCCTCCTGCCCTGTAGTGGCATGGAAGGGAGCCATCCTCCTGCCCTGTAGTGGCAAGGAAAGGGGCCATCCTCCTGCCCTGTAGTGGCAAGGAAAGGGGCCATCCTCCTGCCCTGTAGTGGCAAGGAAAGGAACCATCCTCCTGCCCTGTAGTGGCAAGGAAAGGAGCCATCCTCCTGCCCTGTAGTGGCAAGGAAAGGAGCCATCCTCCTGCCCTGTAGTGGCAAGGAAAGGGGCCATCCTCCTGCCCTGTAGTGGCAATTTGTTTGCAGTTTCTGTTGAGTCATGATATCCCATGGTGCGATACGGTTAAGGTGATTTTAGCCAATCAGCCGATCAGCGGCCGTTCTGAGCGGGGTATATAGCGTAGTATACCCTACTAGCGTTTGTTTTTGCGCGCCTGTGTGTGCATGTGAATGTGCATTTGTTGTGTGTGTGTGTGTGTGTGTGTGTGTGTGTGTGTGTGTGTGTGTGTGTGTGTGTGTGTGTGCGTGTGCGTGCGTGCATGCACGTGAGTGCATGCATGTGAGTGCATTTGTGTGTTTGTGTGTGTGTGTGTGTGTGCGTGCGTGCGTGTTTGTGTGTGTGTAATGATGCAGGTGTGAAGCAGAACCTGGATGAGCTGGACAATGTCATTCTGCCGCTCTGGGCCAAAGGAGATGCACACGAGTTCATTCGTGTTCATCGCGAGGTGAGAAAAAGCAGCTACAACAGATCAGGGCTGCATCTAGGCTTTGTAATTGATCAGTTAATTGTCACACCAGCCGAGTCACATATTCATTGTGCCAATTGTGTGCGTGTGCTCGCTCGCTCGCTCGCTCCCTCCTCCCACCTCCCTCTCTCTCCCCTTTTCCTTCTCTCCCCTTTTCCCTCTCTCCCTCCCTCCCTCCTCCTCCCCCTCCCTCCTCCCCTCTCTCCCTCCCTCCTCCCCATCTCTCGCTCCCTCCTCCCCTCCTCTCCCTTTCCTTTCCTTTCCCTCCATTTCCCTCCGTCTGAGTCTCTCGCTCCCACCTCCCTCTCTCCCATCATTTCTCCTGTGTTCACTCACTCACTCACTCATCCACTCACTCACTCATTCACTCATTCAGTCACTCACTTACTCATTCACTCACTCACTCACTCACTCACGCATTCACTCACTCACTCACTCATTCACGCATTCACTCATTCATTCAGTCACTCACCCACTCAGTCACTCACTCACTCACTCAGTATCTCAGCTTCTTCAATGTGACTCTTTCTCTCCCATGTTGTTCCTTTTGGTCTTCAATGTTGTTCTTTCTCTCCCATGTCATTGTGACCTCGCTTACAGGCATTGGAATGTGACTACGTGACGTCACGGATACACGAATGGATTGACCTGATCTTCGGCTACAAGCAGCAGGGAAGCGCAGCGGTCGAAGCACATAATGTCTTCCACCACCTCTTCTACGAAGGAGCTGTCAATATTGATGAGATCACGGATGATTTGGAGAAGAATGCCACCATTGCTTTCATCAACAACTTTGGGCAGATGCCCAAACAGCTCTTCAAGAAGCCTCATCCGCAAAAGAAAGTGAGGTTTGGTATGAATTTTATGAACCAGTGATATCGTTCATGTCTGATTGGTCAGCTTTGTAGGGGTACTTCCTCCGTATACAAAAACTTCGTGACTTTTTTCAACGGTGTTTTTGAGCAAGAACCTGCTCAACGAACCGCGCCAAAGGCTGTCATCGACAACCCACATTCATGTTGAGGTAGGTTTGGTTGATCTCGAACAGATTCTCCACGGAAGCCATCCGTGTGAGGACGTTGCCGACAGGAACTCACGAGTCAAATGACAAAAAAACTAACACTTACTTGCTCGAAACTGCCACCGTGACGAAGTGGAGCTCGCGCCTGGAACACGTAGTCACGACTCACGCGTCACTCGCCCTGAAACTGGCCAGGCTTGTACTTGCGGTGCGCGGCCCCATACGCAGCGTGAGAACATAAATCGGTTCCGCCCGCACGGAAAGATGAAACATTTCAGTCGTCGTGCAACCAGCGCAGACTCCGGATCGGAATGTCGACGA